CATTTTTAGTTTTTTTTGTTTTTCGAGACAGGGTTTCTCTTAGCAGCCCTGGCTGTCCTGGAACTCACTCTGTAGACCAGGCTGACCTCAAACTCAAGAAATCCACCTGCCTCTGCCTCCCAAGTGCTGGGATTAAAGGCATGCACAGCCACTGCCCGAGTCATTTTTAAGTTTTTACCAATAGTTCAGATTAATAACACAAAACAGTCCAAACACTGGTGGCTCACACTTGTGATCCCTACACCGGAAAGGCTGAGACAGGAGGGTTGATGGAAATCTAAGGAGTCTGAGCTACATAGTGAGTTCTAACCTAAGCTTCATATGAAACTCCCTCAAAAATGAAATTTGTTTACAATCACAGAACAACATATTAAAATGCTATATACTCTGCTACTGCCCTGTAGTTGAGTCAGAACCTTTCTAGAGGGTAGAGGTATGGTCAGCAGCTGAACACAGATACATCATGAGTGATGCTTGGGTTTGAGTCTCAGCATTACAGACAAAGCAGAAGGACCCTCCTAGGGAGGTTAGCTCTTTCTTTAAAAAGGAAAAAAAAAGATTATTTTTATGTATGTATGTGTCTGTGTGTAGGTATTTACACATGTGTGCTGGTCCCCAGGGGAGACCAGAAGAGGGCATTGGATCCTCTGGAGCTAAAGTTACAGAGGGTCCTAGGAATAGAATTCTCATCTCCTGCAAGAGCAATGATTACTTTTAACCACTGAACCATCTCTCCAGCGCCACCTCCCCCCTTCCTCCTTCTTCACATTTATTTATTTTGTGAGTATATGGGGGAGGACATGTGAGGGCAGAGATGTGCGGGTGTATGGGAGTACGTGTCAGGGCCTACATGTGAGGGCAGAGATGTGCGGGTGTATGGGAGTACGTGTCAGGGCCTACATGTGAGAACAGAGATGTGTGGGTGTATGAGTTACATGTCAGGGAATACATGTGAGGGCAGAGATGTGCGGGTGTATGGGAGTACATGTCAGGGCCTACATGTGAGAACAGAGATGTGTGGGTGTATGAGTTACATGTCAGGGAATACATGTGAGAAGGGCAAAGATATGTAGGTGTATGGTGATACATGTCAGGGCACACATGTGAGGGCAGAGAGCAAGTTTCAGGACTTGATTGTCTCAGCAAATGGATTCTGAGACAGAATATCAAGCTTGGCAACAACCACCTTTATCAGTTGAGTCTCTCTCCAGCCCTTCTGGGTTTTCCCTTCTTTTTCTTTTTTTTTTTTCTCCCTCATTCCCACTCTTTGTCAGATGTATATGATCTTGTACTTAATAAATGTATGTGAACCTTGATCTGGGTTTGTGGGGAGAAGGGTAGGTTTGTTTTGTGATTTTGAAATAGGTTCTCATGGAACTCAGGCTGGCCTCAAATTCACTGTGTAGTTGAGGTTGGCATCGAACTCCCCTCAGCTCCCTGTTCTGTGATTTCTAGCTTGCCCTATCATGCCTGGCTGCACTTGCAATGTATGCTTAAACAATATAAAATTGAGCCGGGCAGTGGTGGCACATGCCTTTAATCCCAGCACTTGGGAGGCAGAGGCAGGCAGATTTCTGAATTCGAGGCCAGCCTGGTCTACAGAGTGAGTTCCAGGACAGCCAGGGCTACATAGAGAAACCCTGTCTCCAAAAACCAAAAAACAAAAAAAACAAGAAAACAAAAAAAAAAACAAAAAACAAACAAAAAAAACACCACAATATAAAATTGAATGATTACAACTCTTTGTCTTTAAAGAGATTACCATTCAGTTAGAAAGTTCTGAGACTGTATAGACAAGGCCGGCAGGGGAAAGTGCAAAAAGACACTTAAAGGGTGTGGCCTTTAGAGACTGCTAGCAATAAGGGATGGGAGAGATTCTCTGAAAGGAGACACACAGGATGTATGTCTTTGATTCGATGGAAATAGCCTGTATCTTCATAGTGTGCTTGTCTAAACCCAGGTCACTTGGGTTTGAGTCCTGACATCACCAAAAGAACTCACAGTCCTATACATCCAAAAAATAAAAATTAGTACCAGCAAGATGGCTCGTAGGTAATGGCACTTGCCATGAAAGCCTGGCAACCTGAGTTTGTTCCCCAAACCATCTAAGGGTGGAGAGAGATTTGGCTCCTCAGAGTTGACTCTGACTGCCACAGGTGTGCTGTGATATGGACACATATACGTACACTGTCACCACCACAAAAACAGGAAGATTTCATTAAAAAATTAAAATTGTAATTTACTTATATATAAATTGTATGCGGTTGTATAGCACTACCCTCGGAGCAAACCAGCAGCCAACTCCGTGCTTCAGTGGCGGTGCCTGTTTGCAAAAGATCATCCCAACTGGACTTCTCCATTGTTTGACATTCCTTCATGGATGGAGGGAGTGGGAGGGCCATGGGACTCCAGCCTAAGTATCCAGTATCCAGGTACTCACCACCTCCTTGTATGCAATTTTACCCTAATTGCATGTTGCCTGGTGATCTCAGGGAGGGCCTAAAGTGTATGTGTGGGGAAAGACTAAGGTAGGGGACTCCATCCATGTGGCTAGTGGGGAGCCATCATCCCCACTAGGTAAAGATTTTCCAGTGCAGCTTTGCATCTGGTCTCCTGTCAGTAACCACCCACCATGGTCAGTGTGTAAGTCCAGTAAATAGGATCAAACTCCTTGTCATGGGACCTTAGCAAGGGAGGGAGTAGACGTTGCCTAGTTTCACAACAGGAGAAAATTCTTGTTATACATATCAGTAGTCAGTTATGAATCAGGCATTTAGAAAATGGTAAGAGGTGAGTGAAGGTATAGAAGAAAATGGTTTCAGTGTTTTCAGCTAGGTCACTGGTATGAATGAGGTCAGCTAAAAAAAAAGGCTGAAATTTTGATCATTATAGAAATTGGAGAGAAGAAGCCACTTAACTCGGAATGTGCACACTGATTTGAGGATTACTGGTCCAGGTTCTTTGGGAGCTAAGGTAAGAGATGTCTGGGTTTAGGTGAGATCATGAGGAGCCCTTGCCTACTACAAAGTGTAGACTAGTCAGCAACTAGCAAAGCAACACCACATGGAGGAATTTGAGGTGGTGAGCTAAGCACTCAGGAGCCGTGTAGAGCCTGCAGGTAAGAGGACCTGTCTAATTGTTAAAGAGTAACTAGATTCCTTATGGTAAGAGCATGTGCGTCCAGTCCAGGGGCAGTCTACCAGGAACAGAAAGGAGGAGTGATTCTTAAAGGAGATAGAATCTGCCAGTTTGCAGGGAAGGGTGGAGCTAAAAATAACAGAAATATCCAGCTCACCTGCCAACAGGGAAGCAAGGCCCCAGCAAAGTGAGAGAACAGAAAGAAATGGAGTAGGAAGGAAGGCTCTGTGCTCTGAGGACAGATAGCTGGCTGCTGTGGAATACCACACACACAGGGGGGTTGGGGGGGCACATGCACAACCTGGTTGCTAGAGAAAGCTCTTACTAACGTGTGCAAGGCTCTGCTCCTCAGTGTGGGGGCTCTGCTCAGTGTGGAGGCTCTGCTCAGTGCCCCTCACACACACCCTAAAGAAAGCCTGCCAAAATAGAAGTCTGTCAAAGGGGAACAAAGCCAACTTGGGCTTTGGAACTCACTCGCCTTCCAGGAAACACAAGGAAGGAAATGCTTTAAAGCTAAGTTATGGTCTTGGGAAAGGCTTCATGGAGCTAGGGTTGGCTCATTTAACTGGGCCAAAAGACTTTGCTCATCCAGGTTTATTTGAAGGAGACACAAACATCATCATCATCATCATCATCATCATCGATAAGTTATTTCTCAGCCGGGCAGTGGTGGCGCACGCCTTTAATCCCAGCACTTGGGAGGCAGAGGCAAGTGGATTTCTAAGTTCGAGGCCAGCCTGGTCTACAGAGTGAGTTCCAGGACAGGACAGCTGGGACTACACAGAGAAACCCTGTCTCGAAAAACAAAACAAAACAAACAAACAAAAAAAAGTTATTTCTCTGCCAGTGAAATGAGCCAATACAAGCCAGATTAGATTATATTAAATGCAGGTTTACTGGAAAGCTGCTCTCAGTGAGTTCTCTAGCCCCCAAGGAAGGAGGCCAAGAAAGTCACCATGGGAAGAGAGAGAGAGGAGAGGGGGAAGAGAAAGAAAGAAACAGCACGGACGCAGAGAGAAAAGGAAAGAGAGGAGAGACCAAAATGTCTGGATTATTTAGGGAGGAGCCTCTGGAGGAAGGGCAGCCCAGCCCCTGGGCTGGAAAGCTCTGGATTGAGGGCAGGGTATGCCAGGTAGGGACAGAGGAATGCTTTGGTATGTTAAATATGCACCTCAATCCCGGGTCCTGGAGTCTGAAACCAAACAATTATTATTGTTTTTCTTTTTAATTTTCTGAATGTGTTTGTGAGTATATGACTCATGTGTGCAGGTGCTGCTGAGGCCAGAAGAGAGTGATGGATCCCTGGGGCTACAGTTAAGGGCAGTTATAAGCTGCCAGTCATGGGCATACGGTAAAAGGACCGGGGTAAAAGGAAAAACATCCTGACCCTGATTTGACACCAAGCCCAAGCCAGGGACAAGACACAGAATCCCACCAATCCCTGAGCAATTCCTCACACAGCCCTTCCAAGGAAACCTATGGAAGTCCTGTGTTCTGCTCAGTTCCCTTCTGCTTCTTTTCTCCTTTTCTTTTTAACTGCTGAACCACCTCTCCAACTCCCATAACAAACTCTAAATCTCCATAACCAAAGCCAGTGATAGAAGTTAAAAGCAAGGAACACACTGGGCTGGGGGTGAGAGCAAGAGTTAACTTCCTAAAATGTCTCCTTGTGTTTCAGAGAGAGGCTTTCAAGCTGGGGTAAAGCTCAGCAGAGGGTTTGCCTAGCTTGTCAGAGACTTTTTAGTTCAATCCTCAGCTTGTTACGATTGATGGTTCAGTGAAAGGGGTTGATAGTCACCTCATAAGCCTGTAAATCTTCCAACTTGAGAGGTGAGGCAGGAGAATCAGAAGCTTAAGGTCCTTTGCTTCCTTCGCCAGCACATAAATTAAAATTGGGAAGATACGGAGATTAGCAAGGCCCCTCAGAAGGATGGCATGCAAATCTGTAATGTATTTTTGTCTGTTCAGTTTTGTTCACATAACTTTAGAACCTGGAAAAGCTGTTGCTGGTTAATTCAGAACATAATGCTGTTATTAGTCCTACATCTATCTCTATATACATATGTAAATGCATACATATAATTATATACTACATATATAATTTGAGATTTTGGAAACTTCTGCTGTGCTGTCAACTTGGTGGCTGAACCCTAGGGTGGCAGAGTGGCCATCGACAGGACTGGGACGCCAGAACAGTATACATCCCCACCAGCTAAGTTATTTGTGTTGTTCACAGACTGTGTATCCATGGGCTGGAGAGATGGCTCACTGGTGAAGAACACATGTTGCTCTTTCAGATGACCTGGTTTGATTCTCGGCACCCACAAGGTAGTTCACAGCCATCCATAACTCCAGTACCAAAGGATCTGATATCCTCTCTTCTTCCCTCCATGGGCGCTAGGGGCACACATGGTACACAGACATACACGCAGACAAAACCTTCTCACATAAGATACATAAATCTAATTTAAATTTTTCTTTTAAAAAAATCTATCTAGGAAAAAAGTCTTTGAGGAAGAGGCAGGCCCCTGTTCTAGCTCACGATGGTTGCATAATGAAGTCATTTTGTTTCATCAGCTCTAAGGTACAGTATTTGGTTTGTGAATAGTAAATAACAGGGATGAAAATTCTCAGGGCCATAAAGTTAAAAGTGTTCTCAGGACTCAAATGTCCTAGTCACCAGCACCCAGTTTCTTCAGATAGCCCCTCCCCATCCTCAAGCTTGCCTGACCACCTTTAACTATGGCCCCCTTCCTTTTCAGGTGCTTCCCACCACTATGCAGTCATCTCCTCTCCAAACTTGCAGACCTCTCCTATTGCCCTAGGGAGATAGGGAAGTTATCTCTGCCACCTCCAGGAGGAGAAAGTGGAACCCTTGTGGCTCTGACATCCCTGTATTCCTTCAGCTAAGACCTCTTCCCATGGAACAAGGCTGGGCTGCAGCCTGTATCCTTAAATTCTGATGTGAGGACAGCATACTGGTGCAGTACAGAAACTTGGAAAGCATCCAGTACAGAACCACGGATTCCTTTTAGACAGGAAGCCAAGCCCAGAGGGAAGTCAACCATCTTGTCTCCCGACTCTCCTAAGCTCCTCCTACTGCTTTATAAAGGAAGCATCAGAGGACACTAAGGAGAGAAAATTTGCCAGATGTGGTGGCACTAATACCTGGGAGACTGAGGGAGGAGTATCACCATGAGTTTGAAGCCAGTGTGGCCCACATAGAGTTCCAGCAAGTGAAGGCTACATCTTGAGACCTTGTCTCACCACCAGGCGGTGGTGGCGCACGCCTTTAATCCCAGCACTTGGGAGGCAGAGGCAGGCGGATTTCTGAGTTCGAGAGTTTGAGGCCAGCCTGGTCTACAGAGTTCCAGGACAGCCAGGGCTACACAGAGAAACCCTGACTTGAAAAACCACAAAAAAAAAAAAAAAAACTAAGCAAGTGTGAGTACTAAATGGACCCAAGCCCATGTAAAGCTGAGATTACATACCTGTAATCCCAGCGCTGCTATCGGCAGTTGGGAGGCAGCAGGAGATTCTCGGAGCTTGTGAGCCAGATATCCTGGCATAATCAACATCAACAAGAGTCTGTCTCAATGTAGAAGATAGGGACTAAGATCCAAAGTGGTTCTCCTAACTCCGCATGTGTGCCTCAGCACATGCATGCATTGCATCATGGCACACATGCACCTTCACTCACACTCACAAACGTACAGACACATCACACACACACACAAAACAAACTAAATCCACCCCTAAACAAAACAGCTAGCAGCTATATGGTAATATGAGTCCACTATTAGCATCTTTCTTAGTTAGGGTTTCCATTGTTGTGAAGAGACACCATGACCAAGACAAGCCTTATAAAGAACAACATTTAATTGGGCCTGGCTTAAGGTTCAGAGGTTTAGTCCGTTACCATCAAGGCAGGAAGCATGGGAGTATCCAGGCAGGCATGGTGCAGGAGGAGCTGAGAGTTCTACACCTTGTTCTGAAGGTAAACAGAAGACTGTCTCATGGGCAGCTAGGAGGAGGGTCTCAAAGCCTACCCTCACAGTGACACACTTCCTCCAACAAGGCCACACCTCCTAATAGTACAACTCCCTGGGCCAAGCATATTCAAACCACCACATTATCCTATAAAAATCCTATAGTAAGTACTCTGGTATGCTGGCTTATAGAATTCTAGAATTGGGGATGTAGAAGGAAGAGAGTCAGGAGTTCTAGGCCAGCCTGAGCTACATCAAATTCTGCCTCAAAAAAACAGGAACAAAGAAAGAGGTAATTCTATAAAGGCATGGGAAGCTGTAGCTCAGTGGTAGGACATTTTCTTAGCATGCAGAGGCCTCAAGTTCGACCCCCAGAATCACAAAAGAAAAACAAGGTAAACATTTTGAAAACCTAGAAAAATCTTACACTGTTGTGTCACCAGTGATTGATGTCTAGACTGAATATTTCCAGGTTGTTGCTCTTTAAGTCAAAGAATTGTAATAAAGGTTCACAGAGACTGCTACACAGAAAGAAAATATTACCAAAAGCAAAGCCATAATACCAATTATAATTATGCTGTCAAGAGTGACTGCAGTCTACATGAATGAGAGCACACACGAGGGCCCCAGGTTGTCACATGTGGCTTCTTTATGGGATCTAAAGGAAGCAGAGGTTTGCTTGAGCAGGCCACTGTTTTGGTTGACGGATGAGCTATGTAACCTTTCTTTACTGTGCTTGCCCCTTCCCATGATATCTCTAATTTTAATCATATGCATACCCAATTACACATAGATACAAGACAGCAAATCGAGATTTTTTTTTTTTTAAAGTTCACTCAAGCCAGGCAGTGGTGGCGCACACCTTTAATCCCAGCACTTGGGAGGCAGAGGCAGGTGGATTTCTGAGTTCGAGGCCAGCCTGGTCTACAGAGTGAGTTCCAGGACAGCCAGGACTACACAGAGAAACCCTGTCTCAAAAAAAAAAAAAAAAAGAGCTCACTCAGGGGACACAGTCTGTCCTATTTTACATGTGCCCAAAACTAGTCCAGAACAGATCTGCCCCATACTCTCCAAAGGTTGAATGGAAACTGTCTACAAATAAGGGTTGTCTAGAGAAGAGAAATCTGCATGTTTGGAAGTGTGTGTGTGTGTGTGTAGCTCCCTGCAGACTGAGTCACAGATTTCTAGGTACATTGCGAGGAGGTGGGTATGTATACAGCCCAAACAGGTTGCTAAGCCCTTCCCTATGTGTTTACGTGCCTCAGTGAGCAGGTATTCCTGGAACTGGGTCAAAGTGGAAGGGTAAGAAAACAGGTTTAGAAACACATGCCTGAAATTCTAGCACTTGAGAAACAGAGACAGGAGGACCAGAGTACAGGGCCATTCTTAGCTACACAGTGTGTTCAAGGCCAGGCAGCACTGCAGGAGAACTAACCAAAACAGACTGACAAAGTAGAATTTTTATCCAGATAGGGTTTCTCTGTGTAGCTCTAGCTGACCTAAAACTTGTTCTGTAGATCAGACTGGTCTCAAACTCACAGAGATCCACCTAACTCTGCCTCCTGAGTGCTGGGATTAAAGGCATGTGCCATGATGACAAAATGCCACAAGGTGGAAATTCTTTTTCTTACCTTTTTTTTCTTCTTAAGACAGAATGTTAGAATGTAGACCAAGGTAGCCTCAAACTCACCAAGATCTGCTTGCCTCTGTGTCTGCCTCCCAAGACCTGAGATTAACGGCTTCTCCCCACCACTTCCCTCCCAACTTTGGTTTCATCAAGAGGCTCAACTAGAAAGCCTTATCTGGAAAAACTGCTTGTGCACACTCAGGGACTTGGTTTTTACCTGTTCATTGAGCTACCCTACCCCATCAATTATAATCTAAGCATCTATTCTTCACAACATTGTGATCAACACTGATCAGGTCTATGTTCTCATGAAGAACATAAATCGATGAGAGAGAACTGTCTATCAGTTTCAATTATTTCCTTAAATTTTAGTATCACTGATTTCCACCATGGCTTTAATTATAGCTTCCTAGGAAGGGCAAAGAAATAGAGGAAAGAGGCAGAGAAGGTAGAAGAGAAGGAGGAAGAGGAAGAAGAAGAGGAAGAGAAAGAAGAGGAGGAAGAGGAAGAGGAGGAATAAATACTAAATATACATATTTGTTAGAAGTTAGTATTAAAAATATCTCTCCCTGTGGGCTGAATGTGATAGTGCATTCCCTAATCCCAGCATTTGAGAAACAGAGGCAGGTTAATATATGAGTTCAAAGCCAGCCTGGCTACAGAGTGAGTTCCAGGCCTGTCAGGGCAACATAGTGAGATCCTGTATCAAAGTAAGAGAGAAAGAAAGAAAGAAAGAAAGAAAGAAAGAAAGGAAGAAAGAAAGAAAAGAAAGAAAGAAAGAGGTGTGGGGGAGGGAGGGGGGGAGGGAGAGAAGGAGGAGGAAAAGAGAGAGAAAGAGAAAGGAATGAAGAAAGGAAGATAGAAAGGAAGAAAGGAAGAAAGGAAGAAAAACAAATTACCCTAGACTTCACCAAAGCAGCTTGTTGGATAGAATTCAGTTTATTGCTTATGTGGCAAGACATAACATTTGTCTAGACAGTCTTTGCAGCAGCTCAGAGCAGGTAAGGGCAAGATTAGACTCTTCTTCAAAACTAGACTTTAAGGTGAGTGTTGTAATGAGGATAGCAAAGACAGACTTGTAGTCATGCTTCTAATGTCAGCACTTGGAGAGAGGAAGTTGAGGGATCATGGTGAGTTAGAGACCAGCCTGGTTTCACAGTCAGCATAAGGTGGGCCTGTGCTACAAGAAAAAGCATATGTCAAAAAACAAAACACACACACATGCACACATAGGAAGGCACACACACACATGCATGCACATGAGCGTGTGTGCACACACACACACACACACACACACACACACACACATATACACAAGAGGGGCCAGAGAACAGAGAAGCCTTGGTAGG